GTGTGTATGTGAAGTTTCAGCTTAAAATATCACTTAAACAATGTTTTATAGCTCTTTGAAACTGACCCTCCAATGCTCTGTTCACACCAGACACGGCATGTGCGAATAAATCACGATATTTGCGCATAAATACACGCTTTGTTCGCATGTCAGATTCACTTCACTTAGCGTCATAAGCAGGGCTTCTGTTTGCCCGGTGACTGTAGCTAAATTGCTAACATGGATTTTATTGAGATAGTAGCTGTGCTTAGTTATTTAGATAGTAGTAGTGTTTTATGTGCTATAGGAAGGCTGAAAAACAGCATAGGTTTATTTGGCGCCATCCACTAGATCCTTATTTCATATGTGCACCTCCTTGTTAGAGCAACCAACTTCAATGCTGAAGGGCGCCGGTGCGATACCAGCTCGGAGCGGGTTGGGTGGTGTAGGACCGGGGGGGTTACATTGGTGCTGTGACCCGGATGGGAGTGAGGTTTTGGGGGGTGAATGTAATGGAGGCCAGCTAGTAAGTGCTGTGCAGGTAAACCTAGGTCCTCTGACCTCTAAAGGTGCTCTAGCAACAGACGATGAACAGTCTTTAGCCTACTTGTTAGAGCAACCGACTCCCATGCAGAAGGTCGCCAGTTCGATCCTAGCTCAGAGCGGGTTTCTACCACCTGCCATCAGAAACATTAACTCCCTCACACTATTCAAATCAAGACTCAAAACCCACTTATTTAAGATGGCTTTCAATACTTAATTAATTGGATCTGCACTATTGCTGTGTATATTTTTATTATTTCTTTTGATGTTTTATTGTATGGTGTCCTTGAGTTGCCAAAAAGGCGCCTTTAAATAAAATGTACTATTATTATTATTAGGGTGACGCAGTGGCGCAGTAGGTAGTGCTGTCGCCTCACAGCAAGAAGGTTGCTGGGTCGCTGGTTCGATTCTGTGTGGAGTTTGCATGCTCTCCCTGCGTTCGCATGGGTTTCCTCTGGGTGCTCCGGTTTCCCCAACAGTCCAAAGACATGCGGTACAGGTGAATTGGGTTGGCTAAATTGTCTGTAGTGTATGAGTGTGTGTGTGTGAATGTATGCATGGATGTTTCCCAGAGAGGGGTTGCAGCTGGAAGGGTATCCGCTGTTTAAAAATGTACTGGATAAGTTGGCAGTTCATTCCGCTGTGGCGACCCCGGATTAATAAAGGGACTAAGCTGACAAGAAAATGAATGAATGAATGATTATTTTTATTAGTGCCTTACACTATTGTGTTACAGGAAAAAGCAATATGTTACTGTAATACATTACTTATGTAATGCCTTACTCGCAAAACTGCGTCATAATCCCGCCCCCTCAAGAGCAAGCTCCTGATTGGTTAATGTGTGCTGAAGTTCAGATTTTCCAACTTAAGTGATTCACATCATTCACTCAACGCCACATCAATCGCGCTGCTTTATTCGTGCAAATCGCACCACAGGATGTCTCATCGCATCTTTGTATCGACTCAACATGTAAATCACTCTCGCCTAATGCTTCATTCGTGTCTGGTGTGAACACACCATTAGGCTTTGATGCTAATTATGTAGTTTTGGCGACTGTCACTTTACATTTAAATGAGACTGTGCTCGTTTCTAAAGGAGGCGGAGCTACAGACAGTGTCAGCATAGTGGCAGATTCAAAAACAAGACTAAAGCTGCGGTCACACTAGAGTTTGTGTGTGTGAAATTCTGTTATACGGTGCTGCGAAAAGGAGCGGGAATAAGCAAGATTATTAGACATTTAAAAAAAGCGAGCGATTGCTCCATGTTTTAAATTTCTGTCCAGAGAGGTCATGTTTTGATCCTCGATTGGTCTCACACAGTCAAGTGTCAGATTTTCGCAGGTCAGAGTTCACCAACGCATTAACTTAAACACTTAACGCATGACCCCGGGTTTCCAGACTGACGCATTCGCGTGCGTATGAATGGAAGTCTATGGGGAGAAAAGTCAAGTGTGTCGCAGCTTAATGTCTTATGCTAATGAGGGAGAGATGATGTCTCTAGTGGGCGTGGCCTCCTCCTATGATGACACGTACAAGGGGAGAATGTCAATCAAAGTGTTTCTGCAGACTACTTTTATCAAGTGTGATTATAAACAAATAATTTTAATAATTGTTTATGATTATTAGCTGGTTATATTCACACACTGCTGACACACAACTGTGTTTAAACCCCTTATAAAAGGGATTTTTGCATAATAGGTCTCCTTTAAGTGTCTTTTAAAGGGTTTTGAAAACTCAAAAAGAGCGAATGGATGAAGACGTATATTTTTAGACATGTGTTTCACTGGACTTTCAGATCAAGATGATTAAATGTAAACTCATGTCTCTGATGTTTATTGGCGTAGAGTGTTTTTTCTGAATGCCTGTCAGCAAAGATTGCATCGAATAGTAAATATACCAGCAAGTGTTTATTCTACAAAGCTTTTATATGACCCAGTGTGCCAGAAATCATTCAATCTCATCCGCCAAACACTACTTTGAAAGTAGAGGATCCTTGTCTGATTTCCTTCAAATGACTATGCCTTGATAACTTGTGATAATCTGTCTTGTCTTTCGCTGCTCGTTTCGCTCGAATGGATTTGTGCCAAAAGAAGGTGGAAATGTAACGATATCAGTTTTAATCCCACATTTACACTGGTCGAATGTCGTGCCTTTGTTTATTCTCACATTTTCTATCATATAATATCGATCCGCTTTTCTATTTCTGTTTACGAATAATTATTTTAATGTCTCTCCACACGTATATTATCATTTACTCAATGTGAAATCAGCTATGCATTTGTTTGTTTCTCCCGTAACACTGTCATGTTTTATTCTGTGAGTTTCTGTTTCAATTCATGCAATTATATACAAATAAATTTGGTGTTTTGAGGCACCGAAAATCTTCGTCCTGTTGTTTTTATTATTGTTGATGCTAAAAACATTCAAATTTCAGCACATTTTGCCTTGAAATTAGTACAGAAAGTGGTAAAATAATAATAGTAATCTGCTAATTGTTCACATAGTATGTTAAGTTTATTTAAAATTTGAGGTACATGTTAATTAATAATTAGTTTTTACTAATTGTATACATTTGTCTTTAATTTTAGAGTGTCCATTTAAATTTCAGTTGATCCTTTAGAATTTTACACCATTTTTAATTTCAATTAAAACTTTTATTTTATTTTAGTTGACTTAGCACATAAAGTTAAAGAAAAATAATATATATATATATATATATATATATATATATATATATATATATATATATATATATATATATATATATATATATATATATATATATATATATATATATATATAGATATATATATATATATATATAGAGAGATATATACATATATATATATATATATATATATATATATACATATATATATATATATATATAT